CCCGCCCTCCGAGCGCCGGCAGCGGCGGCAGCGGCGGCAGCGGCGGCGGCGGCGGCGGCGGCGGGCGGGGTCGGGGCGGCGATGCGGGCCTGGACGCGGGCCTGGGCGGCGGGCGCGCGGGGCGGCGGCGGCTCCGGCTCGCAGGCGGCCCCTCTCCGGCCCGGCTCCCTCCTCGCGGCGGCGGCGGCGGCGGCGGCGGCGGCGGCGGCGGCGGCGGCGGCGGCGGCGGCGGCGGCGGCGGCGGCGGCGGGTCCCGGCCTCGGCTCTGCGCGCCCGCGCTCCCGGCGCCCGCAGCCAACAAGTTCGGGACGAGACTGACAGCTCGCTCGCCCATTCGTCACCCGCGTACCTGCATATGCATAAGGGGGCGGGGCCGCGCCGCGGGGTGGGGCTGGGGGGCCGGGGGCGCCCGGCTTTAAAGGCGGCGGAGGGCGCTCCTGCCCGCGCCCAGACCCGGCGCGCGCCCCGCCAGGCCCCCGGGCGGTGGGGGTTCCGTCACGCCTCCGACGAACCCGGCGTGCGGGGGCCGGCGCCGCCAAGCGGCCTCCCCTCGCCCGAGCCCCGCTGGGTGTCAGGAGCCGGGGGTGGGGCGCCCCTGAGGTCACCGCCGAGGTCCCCTCCCATCAGTGCGCCACCGCCGCGCTCCTCGCCGTCCCAGGGGAGAAGCCGCCCGCTGCACAAATCAGGGCTCTGCCCCCACGCGGGGCGGGCGCGGCCTGGGACCCTTCCTTGGGGAGCGCCCCCCTCCGCGCAGCCCCCACCGCCTCCACGCCGGCCGCAGGGGGCGCTGCTCCTCTCCGACGCCCCTGCCCTCCCGCCGCACGCTCGCGGGTCGGGCAGCCAGGCACCAGATGCTCCGCGGTGTGGGCTGGGTGCCCGGGTCCGCGCTGGCGCAGGGGTCGCCAGGCCGCAGTCTTGCCCAACGCCCAGGCCGGCCCCTGGGCTGCGGCGGGGACACAGGGGGGTGACCGGGGAATAAAAGGCCGTGGTGCACGCTCCAAAGAACGAGGTGAGAGCCGCCCAAAGAGGCTCCTCCTGCTGTCCTGGTCACCAGGTCCCCGCGTCCCGCCCCTCCGTCATCACCGTGCTGCCCTCTGCCGGGGTCACCTCGAGCCGCCCCCCACCCACCCTCCCGGGGTCAACACCAAGGGCTCCTTGTCCGCAAACATCAGCTCCCCTCCAGCAAGCAGGGGCCCGTCCGGGCTGGCGGTCATCTTGGCGGTTGGGGACCCGAGGTTCAAGGGGGCTTTCCGACCCCTCCCCACAAACACTGGGCTATCTTCTCAACTCTGGCCCCTCCCGCCAGTCTGTCCTGGGCCCCGGGCGGCGGGTGCAGCCCCTGCCTGGAGGCAGTAGTTGGTGTGGGGGTGGGAGGAGGCGGGGAAGGCTTCCTGGGAGAAGAGACTTTCGAGGGGGCCGGGCTGCCGCCGCTCAGCAGCCCCTCCCGGAGCCAGGCAACAGGAGCAGCTGGACGCCCCTGAAGGGATGGCCTGGCTCTTCTCCCAGCACCCAAACCTCCCTACCTGAGCCCCGTCTGCTGGGGCGGGGGGGCAGGACTCCCCCAAATAAGGGGGTGCAAGCTGTGTTGGAGCCTTCCAGTTACTGCCTGCGGGAGAGGGGGTCGTGGGGGGGCCTCCTGTCTTTGCCTTGGCTCAGAAGCAGGCACCCACATGCTCCTGGCCCCAAGACAAGTGAGGAGCCCCCCCCCACACACACACACAGCTCCAGGGGCCCAGGGCTCCATCCCTGCCCATCCCTGCCGGTCCCTGCCTGTGCCCACTGCCCCACGATCCAGGAAAGCTCCGGGCGCCTCTGCATTCAGCCAAGTGGTGAACCCTTGCAGGGCCCCTGTCCAGGCATGAACAGAGCCAGATTCACAAACTCAAAGGGTGAAGCAGGAGGGGCCAGCTGGGCAGGGGGCCCACTAAGACCCAAAGGCGGATGAGTCAGCCAGGTGAGGAGCTGGAAACAGCACATGCAAAGGTCCTGGGGTGAGGGAGGCTGACCCGGGTGAAAACCTGCGAGAAAGACACACAGCAGAGGCACAGGGGGTGAGGGGCAGAGGTGAGGCTGCTGGTGGCAGTAAGAGCCGGGCTGCGCTGGGCCTCTGAGCTAGTCTTCCTGCTAAGACCAAGGGGAAGTCACAGAGAGCACTGAGGTCGGCCAGGCTACCCCGGAGAGACTTAGATTTTCACAGAGATCCCGGGGGTAGGGGTGGCAGCAGGGGTAAGGCCAGGGCAGGGAGGCCCAGGACTGCTGGGGGGGCCTGGCAGTAGAGGGACTGGGCGGGGGCGGGGGGGGGATTCCTAGGTAAGTGACGGGCAGGATCCAGAGAACAATCCCCCCACGCGCCCCTCCCTCATCCCCCCCGAAGCTTCCTGCCCACAGCCAGCGGGCCAGAGCCTCACTGAGCCGCCGGTTCCAGAAGCTCCTGAGCTTCTGCGGGGGCTCTTACCATGCTCGGAGCGGTCTCGGCTGGGAGGTTCCGGTGAGGACACTCACTGCGTCCCCCAGAGGGATGCAGCCTCCCCAGGGCCCCTCTGGCTGCCAGCCCTGCCCCACGGGCACAGAGGCCCCCACCTGCCTTGCAAAGCTGGGGAGCCCATGGCCGGGTCCCATCTGCCTCCCTCCAGGCCTTTTGGGAGCAGGGCCTGGGTCCTCCTGGCTCAAGGCAGCTGGGTGAGCATCAGGGAGGCCCCTGGGGGTGGGCGACCCAGGACGCCCGTGGGGGCAGCTCCTCGCCTGCCACACCCTGCAGGGTACAGAACCCCTTCCTCCCACTGACCCCATTGTCCTTCCGCTTCCTAGGAGCCTCAGCCCAGACTTAACCCAGGAGAGGCTGGGGTCAGGAAGGTGACCACTTCAGGCCAGGGGCGGGCCTTGGCGGCTGCTGGGAGAGGGAGAAGTCCCCCCTAGGGTCGTCCCCTCAGGGGTTTCTGCAGCCCTCGGGCTGGACGGCTGGGGACCCGATGGGGGCCAGGGCTCCTGCCTCCACGTGCGGCCCTGTGTCTTCCAGAAGACCCCATCCCCGTTCTGGGGCCCACTGGGCTGCAACACCCACCGTCCAGCCCGGGGGCCCCCGCTCTGACTCCCCAGTGCCAGGGGCTCTCGGGCATGCTGAGGTGGGTGCTTGGTGGTGTAGAAGCCATGGAGGCCCCCGACCAGGCAGGGGTCCTCAGGACCAGGCTAGGGTGCAGGCTGCCCAGACTCTGGATAGAGCCAGCTTGGCTCAGGAGTGAGCTGCGCTTCCGCCCGTGTTCTCTGGTGCTAAATATAGCGGCCAGGGAGGGGAGTTTCCGGTTACAGCCCCCCCACCCCCCAGTGCCGGGAAATCGATGCCAGCTCCATTAGGCCCGGCGGCAGTGCCTGCTGACCTGCCCCATCAGGCTGAGGAGCAGAATGAGGGGCTGGACTGCACCCAAGCCCAGGGCCCTGTCCCTCAACACCCCCTCCAGGTCCCAGCCTCCAGCTGCTCCCTCAGGCACAGGGAGCCACCAGCCCCCCGTACCTGCCAGGGGCCCCCGAGGCAGTGCGCAGTGGCTGCGGTCCGCGAAGAGGGTGAAGAGGGTGGTGGGGCTCGAGAGGTGGGCACCAGGCAGGCAAGAGGGGGGAGGGAGGGATGCAGGGTGGTTCCAGGCTGGGCAGACTTCCTGCCCTGTGCTCGTTCTCCAGACGCACTGAGGCCGGCGTGCAGGCCCCTCTGCAGCGAGCCCTGCAGCCCCCTGGGTCACACACCACACCTGAGGGCCCCTCCTCAGCAGCATGTCACTCAACTGGCTGTGCTCCCCGGAGGCCCCACCTGGGTCACAGCCAGCATTTGCATACAGGTGATGCGGCCCGAGTGGGCCCCTTGGGCACAGCCTCCTTGGGGCGGCCTCGAGTGCCAGGCCCAGGGGCCGTCTGCACTGTGCCAGTCGGTCCCACCGGGTTGAAGGGAGGGGCCCTCGATGTGTGCTGCCTGCACAGGGTCGCCTGGGGCAGGGCAGGGGGATCAGAGGGGCCTGAGCGAGCAGCCCCCAGCTGACGGTGGGGTCTCCGTGTCAGCCAAAGGCAGGTCCTGCCTCATTCCCCTCCCCCATCCCAGCCTGAGGCCCAGCCCCAGGGGACGCTGGGACCCAGAGCACAAAATCAGGTTCGTGGCAAAGCTCCTGGTCACTCCAGCCCCTACCTGCCTGGGACAGCGACGGCCCCGGGGCGCCTTGCCGTCCCCAAGCTGCCCGCTACCCGTCACCCATGGCATCACCCTCAGTGGACCAGATGGCTTGGAGGGCTCTGGGGAAGGGCCAGGCTGGGTCACCAACTTCAAACAGGGTCAGGCTGGCCCTCATTCCAGGAGCGTCCCCAGCCCTCAGGTGGGCCCCTATCCCCGACCGACGGCCCGAAGCACCTGGACTGTGGTGACAGGCACACCCCCTCCACTTGGCACCCCAATCCACCCACTGCGTAAGGAGCATCTACTGGGGGTGTGGCTGGGTAGGCACCCAGCTCTCCTGTGCCCCCAGGTCTTTGAGGGCCACAGAGGCAGCTCACGCAGTCCCTGACCCTGCGGACAGGCCAGTGGTCCTTCCGGGTTTGCAGGCCACGCCACATACAGGCCAGCAGGCAGAGGGAGGACTCATCACCAACTCCGACCGCCCAGGGGACGCAGGGGCTCCAGGGGGCGCTAGAGCCAGATCCCAAATGGCCCTGGTTTGGGGCGCCTGGAGAGGGTAGGGCGCTGAGGCTCTGCCCCACCTCCTCCCGATGGCCGGCTCGGCCGCCGCCCCACAGCCACCCCACGGCCCACCCCACTGCCCTCCCTGAGCGCTTGGGCTGGCCGAGTCCCCACCTCAGGCTTGACCTTAGCCTTCTGCCGGCCAGCAGATGCCCTCAGCAGTCCCTGCCCCGCCTGCCGCCAGAGGCCTCTCGTGGAGAGCCCACCCTCCCAGCGCCCATCTGGGAAGATCCTCTATCTCCCCCGGCCCGCCCGTGGCCACCGCTCGGAGCCAGCGGACACAGGCTGGAGTTACACAAGCCTTTATTTGATCTGCAGGGCAGGTGGCCAGGACGACCTTGCCTCGACCCCCTGGGGTCTCACCGGGGACCCAGCCCAGGGGCCACACAGCTGAGGAACCATGAGATGCCAAAGATGACGCCGAGGGTCTTGGGGATGTCCGGGTCATCTGCGAAGGCCCGGGCACCATCCAGGGGCAGGTGCACCACCTCGATGAGCTCGCCCTCCTCTGCCAGGCCCCCCCCCAGGCCGCTCCGCTGGGAATCCGTCACCTCTGCGTAGAACATGGTCTGGCTGGAGCCGGTCAGTCCCACACCAGACCTGCGGGTTGAGACGGCATCTCCTGAGCCACCTCACTGGACAGACCCCTGTGCCACTCCCTCCCCTCCTAGCCCCTGCAGGCCAGGAAGGCCAGTCTGGCAGGCAGGGCTGCAGGCTGCGCTGTGCCCGCCCCCAGATCCCTGTGACCGTCGGGTGCGGCAGACCTGGCGGTGTGCTGGCTGTCGCTTCTGCCGCTCCTGCATCATGTGGCCTTGGCTGGTGTAACTAAGGGCCTTAATCAGATGACTTTCAATTCATCAACAGAGATTATCTTGGTGGGCCTGACCTAGTTAGGTGAGCTCATCAGTGAAAGTGTAGAGAGCAGAGATGCTGAAAGTCAGAGACACAAGCCTGTCCCGCAGGCCTTGTAAACAAAATAAGCTGTCATGTGAGGGGCCACGTGGTCCAGACCCACAGTGGCCTTGAGGAGCGGCCCGTGGTCCCCGGCCACCAGCCAGCCAGGAAGTGGGGCCCTCGGTCACACGGCTGCAAGGAGCTGGATCCTGTCCCACCATGTGCACTGGGAGGGGGTCCTGAGCCCCAGATGAGCCCAGCCGACCCCAAGCACTGGGCCCAGTCCCCAGGAAGCAGACGAGTGACCCGCGGCGACTGCGAGGTCATCAATGTGGGCTGACAGAAGCCTCCCGGCGTCTACCACGTTCTGCAGTGCAGAGGGCGGGCCAGCCGCTGCCCCCGCTCACGGGAGCCCCTCAGCCAGGGCCTCCCTTCCCACCCGAGGCTCCAGGCTGGCTGGAAGCAAGGACTGTCCCGGCGACCCATGTGACCTGGCTGTGCGAGCCTCCGACCCCAGCACTTGCAGGACACCAGCTCCAGGCTGGGGACAGCACGTGCTAAGGCAGCTGGGG